GTATTGCGTTTGTAACGGTCATGACCACTTCGATTGCCGCTGTTTTGATTCTAGCACGAAAAGACATGCGTTTTTGATGCAGCTTTCATTATACTGCTGAACACATTGAATAGGAGCAAAAACTCACTTGGGAGAAATACGTGCGTCGATCAAAATCCTGATTACTCTGTGACAAATCCCCTCTATCATGTCGACTGGGATCCAAATACCGATCACTACGATGATCTTTGTGTTGTTTTCGATTGTAATACGGATTGTCTCTATCATAACGTTGGGAACCACATCGGCTGTAATCGCTGTCTCGGCGCCGAGTACCACTTCCTAAAGGATGAGCACAAATTTACCCCTGAGGAGATGCAGCCAACGGTTCAATACTTGACTGAACATGCCTCCATAGTTTTCAAACTGATTCCTATGATACGATGGTGATGGAAGGGGTCGTCTTTCAATCAAAGGTGAGGGGTTTCTTTCAAGACTAGGGTTTTTGCACGAGCGTATTGGTGGTGAGCTATGCTTCGCCGAATGACCAGCTAAAGACATGCGGCGACGCAGTGGGGAGTATCCCCCCGTTGTTTCATTATCCGATACAACATCTAGATGCGCCCTAGTCAGAGGCGCCGCCCAGCCTGCGGCGGCGGCAGTGGAGATCTTCCGAGAGAAAGAACTCGAGTTCTTCACAGCCGATTGTGATGTAGCTAGAGGAGATTTATTATCGTATGCTGAAACTGCCAGACCAATATTATTGTGTGGCATATCCTCAGGCACACAAGTGTTCATAGAAAGATGTCTTGAAAAACGCTGAGGTTGAGAGCTACTCGTGCCTATGTTGGAGTCCGTCGATTCTGAAAAAGAACAATATATGATTAGAATGATCGAAACTGGTAACGATTATGGATGTAAAGATACATCAGGCGAATTTGATATATGCTAGACTTAATGAGCTCTTCAGTCTCAGCTTCACAGACGTAAGTACTGTGTCCTATATTATAATAGTAGAATAATTAATAATGCCAAGAAAAAGTAAGCAGGTATGAAAAGTTGTAAATAAGCTATAAGTAGTTTTAGGTAAACTAACCAACTTCCATCTCATCGCTGGCATCATCCACCTCCATTTCCACGTCATTATCTTCTGGCAAAACCTGCGGTTTATCTAACTCGAAGACTGACGATGTGGGAAGAAGTGGTTCTTTGATAGGCAAAACCGATGATGGATTTGGCAAGAGGGGAGCAGAATTTTCAGCATGTTTAAGCGGCGAAGAGGACTCGCTGAAAATAAGTGGATAAGGCGCACGCCTCTTCTGACTCATTTTTAGCCACTCATGATAGTCCACATTTAAAGCCTCACAAGTAACTTGATTAATCGAGGGAGCAAGAGACTCAGGAGAAGCGTGAGTTGCAAGCAACAGATCCGACATCTGACGAAGACTGTGTTGCAGTGAAGCATCTCCTTGAAGTCGACGTCGAAGTTGGTCACGCAATTCTAGCTTGTTTCCAGACGGGTATTGAGAACCGAGAAATTGTGAGACGATACGATCCACGAAATTACGCTTCACGTAAACATAATCGGAGTTACTTTCGACATTTTCCAGACAGCGTTTGCGTATTTTATCGAAAAAACCCTGACTTTTCAATTTGGTCACTAGCATCTCTGAAGTTGGACGGCATGAATCAAAAGATTCTTTCATGTTCTAAGAAGGAAATGCAAGAATATTGAGAATACTTTCTATGACTGCTTACCACAGAAAAAGTAAGGTAGAAATATGGAATAGTAAAAAGAAAAGCTTTTAAAAGTTCATAAGCGTAATTAAATGATTCTGTGGACACATCGAATGATTTATGAGATCTACGGGGAAAGCAGTGATACATACAGGTGAAAGTCCACTCAGAGCCACAGATTTTCACCCAAAAATCCACGGCTCTCAGACCGAAGCATCCGCGTGAGTTATTGCGCAGTCGAACACGGCATTACAACGGATAATTTTTAATTACTTAAAATTAAAGCTATATGTGTAGCTGGTCAAATACGTACCTGATTTAGTGCTTAGCTATTATGTAAATAATTCTAATTAGCTTTTAAAGTGATGCTTTCGACAGAACGCACCTAGTATTAGGGGCAGAAGCATTAGCTGCACGGAACGCTAGCCCTCTCGACATAGGCACATTGTAATATGTAAACTACTTGGCATTTAGTAAAACAAAGTATTACATCAAATACTCCTGCTCCATCTTGTTCCTCATTGCATTGCCCTCGCCATAAATGTAAGAACAGTGAACTCCCGAATCTGTGCAGTTTGGAGAACTTAGAAGCCGTCGATCTAGAGCTAGGCGCTTCCTTGCTTCAGGTAATAGGCTGCTATACCTATTTTGTTTTTTGAGAGGAACTGTTCCGCACCATTCATGGGCGATGAACCACCTGTTCGCCGAATCAGAATTTCTTAGGGCTGGTTGTCTCAACTAATTTACCTTAGCATCTCGAGGTCCAAAAAGGTTTATTTCGATATTTATAGAAGTGAGCACGACTGAATTCCAAGAACTACAAGGGAGTGATCCCCTGTGTGACGGCTAAAGTGCCTGGCGGGCAAAGAATAGCCGGCAAATAATGGCACCACCATTTAAACCGAACATGTATGCCATGTCCGTGGACTCACTGGTATTCACTGCTCCAAAAAGTTAAAGTATGACCCCTACCAATAGGGCACAACACCTATGGATACTGCAAGGCTTCGTTCACGTGACCACCTGACGTTTGGCGGTATCTTAAGGTTTGCCTAGCCCTTGAATTCGTGTGCTGGCCTAGTCGCTTTGTCCCCCTAGGAATACATGTATCCATCTTCACTTACTGCCTTCTACCGAATAGGAAGTCTCGAGACGCCACAAATACCGCCTTAGGTTCAACACATGAATCTATAGCATTAATAACAGGTAGAGAGTACCAAACCATTATTCATATGCTGCATATGCGACCGAAATGTACAAATTTTAGCCTTCCATCGTGCTGTCCATCTCATCTTCCACAGGTTCAGGAATGAAACATAGGGATCCATCTTCCACCATTTGGCATGTAACTTTGACTTTCGGATAGAGGGAAGTAATCACATTCTTTGCATCATCAATGGATAGGTTCTCCACACCACCATCTTCAGCTCTCCATCGAGCTATGATATTCACCCGGAACTCCGAAGTCTGAGTCTCGAAGTACTTCTACAACAAGAAAAATTAGTAGTTTATTTGACGGAATACAGTAGACGTAAAGGGCTTAGTCACTACCAGTATTCTGCACTGCTCCGGTGTGAGCGTCTGACCCATGTGACACACAAGATAGTCTTCCTCAAGATTGATAATGCCCCGGACCAGTTTAACCGGCAAACCCAATTGTCGTAGAGGAGGTTCAAGAGTATGTGAAAATTTGGGCAGGGAACCAGACCCCAAAATCACCTGAATAAAGTTTAAAAAGATGTAGCAAAAAGGGATGCATCTACTTGCAAATAACCCAGAAAATGGAAATAGAAATATCCCCCTGTCAAGTGTACTTGTGGAGTCATTAGAACAAAAAGTACTAAAATACTTTGCCGAAAAGCAATCGCCGATGTCAATCACTGTGGACCACTAGTGCAAAACATATCAGCTTACGGTTTGTGAAGCAATGCTGCCGGCTCGTGCATAGTCCTGACTTCTGAATTGGTTAAACATTTTGCGAAGTTCATCAAGTTCGACGTTGCTAAAGAGAAGGGCGCACTGACCCTTAACGTATTTTATGAGTTTATTTAGACCAGGTTTAAGCTGATTCCAATCAAAAGCGATTGCAACAACCTTGTTCTTGCCAAACAATAGGACACTATCTGGTAATTCCTGGCGAATCTCTGCGAGTCTGACGTTCCTGGGGTTCTCAAAGGTAATTACATAGATGTATTTGTAGTTGGGGACAAGTAATCGAATCTAGAATTAAAAGAAAACTGGAGTAAGCGAACCAAAACTTGTCACAAACTAAGTTAGTTGTGATCAGGACAAAAAACAAAAACACAGTGCCTACAAATAATCATAGGAATCAGCGACTACCTTGTTAACAAGGGCAGACTTGTTCCCAACCTTCTTCCCTGTTTTGGTCAAGGAAACTAAAGAAAAATG